GACAATGAGGATATCAGTCTAGCACAGTGCTTCCCACAGTGCGGTCTGGGGCCCAGTGCCTCAGAGGCACTGCAGAGAGGCGCCAAAGGTTGTCCTCCCAACCAGCAATTAGAATTGACATAGCCTGGCCATAGCCATCCGTACACTCCGCTCAATCATCATTTCACTGCATGTAACGTCTAGGTCTGGTCCCTGTGTTAGCGATTACAATCGGTCGTATTTCGACCGGCTACTCAGACGTCAGCCGGTGACGTCAAGAGTTTGCGCCGAACGGGCATGTTGTAGTTTGGCAGTGGCGAAGACTGCGATAGTAAAGTATTCCGGTCTTGTTCTATCATGAAATTGAACCAGGAGCAAGAGGAATGTTTAGCAAATGTAATTGCAATTGCGTTAGCAGCAAAGGAGATGGCTAGGCTAAATGCTAAATGCTAACAACACACTCGGGCGCATTACATAATGTAATGTAAGGTAAACTCCGATCCAATCGTTTTAAGGCTAGAATTGACAGCAAACTACAGTATTTGATAAAAATCATTACACAATTACTGCATTTTGCAACACCAATCTTGCATATTAATGTACTGTATTATGACCTACATTTTGTGCTCTTTGATATTGGGGGCGTTAATACTTTACAGATACTGTAGAAGGTCCTGAGTTTGCATGTTCTCCCCGTGTCTGCATAGGTTTTCACCTTGTGCTCCGGTTTCCCCTACTCTCAAACATGTACAATAGTTCAAGGTGAAAGAGTGTGTGCTTGTGTGTATGTGAGTGCAACGGTGGGACACAGGATTGAAATTAACCCAATGTACAATCTGGTGTATTTACAACTCTGCTGTTCATCAATGCACACTGCCCCATCCATACAAAAGAAAAGTGCATCAAAAGTATTCGCCCCCTTGAACCTTTCAACATTTCGCCACATTTCAGGCTTCAAACAAAAAGATATCACGTTTTTATTTTTTGTCATGAATCAACAAGTGGGACACAATCGTGAAGTGGAACGAAATTTATTGGATAATTTAAACTTTTTTAACAAATAAAAAACTGAAAAGTGGGGCGTACAATATTATTCGGCCCCTTTACTTTCAGTGCAGCAAACTCACTCCAAAAGTTCAGTGAAGATCTTTGAATGATCCAATGTTGTCCTAAATGACTGATAATGATAAATAGAATGCACCTGTGTGTAATCAAGTCTCCGTATAAATGCACCTGCTCTTTGATAGTCTCAGGGTTCTGTTTAAAGCGCAGAGAGAACCATGAAGACAAAGGAACACACCAGGCAGGTCCGAGATACTGTTGTGGAGAAGTTTAAAGCCGGATTTGGATACAAAAAGATTTCCCAAGCTTTAAACATCCCAAGGAGCACTGTGCAAGCAATTATATTGAAATGGAAGGAGTATCAGACCACTGCAAATCTACCAAGACCCGGCCGTCCCTCCAAACTTTCATCTCAAACAAGGAGAAGACTGATCAGAGATGCAGCCAAGAGGCCCATGATCACTCTGGATGAACTGCAGATAACTACAGCTGACAATCAGTCGTTCACTGCACAAATCTGGCCTTTATGGAAGAGTGGCAAGAAGAAAGCCATTTCTCAAAGATATCCATAAAAAGTCTTTAAAGTTTGCCACAAGCCACCTGGGAGACACACCAAACATGTGGAAGAAGGTGCTCTGGTCAGATTAAACCAAAATCAAACTTTTTGGCCACAATGCAAAACGATATGTTTGGCGTAAAAGCAACACAGCTCATCACCCTGAACACACCATCCCCACTGTCAAACATGGTGGTGGCAGCATCATGGTTTGGGCCTGCTTTTCTTCAGCAGGGACAGGGAAGATTGCTAAAATTGATGGGAAGATGGATGGAGCCAAATACAGGACCATTCTGGAAGAAAACCTGTTGGAGTCTGCAAAAGACCTGAGACTGGGACGGAGATTTATCTTCCAACAGGACAATGATCCAAAACATAAAGCCAAATCTACAATGGAATGGTTCACAAATAGACGTATCCGGGTGTTAGAATGGCCAAGTCAAAGTCCAGACCTGAATCCAATCGAGAATCTGTGGAAAGAGCTGAAGACTGCTGTTCACAAACGCTCTCCATCCAACCTCACTGAGCTCGAGCTGTTTTGCAGGGAAGAATGGGCAAGAATTCCAGTCTCTCGATGTGCAAAACTGATAGACATACCCCAAGCGACTTGCAGCTGTAATTGCAGCAAAAGGTGGCGCTACAAAGTATTAGCGCAAGGGGGCCGAATAATATTGCACGCCCCACTTTTCAGTTTTTTATTTGTTAAAAAAGTTTAAATTCCATCCATCCATCCATCCATTTTCTTCCGTTTAAAAAAGTTCTTCACAATTGTGTCCCACTTGTTGTTGATTCTTGACAAAAAAATTTTTTTTTATATCTTTATGTTTGAAGCCTGAAATGTGGCTTGTTGAAAGGTTCAAGGGGGCAGAATACTTTCGCAAGGCACTGTATATATCTCTGATTTGGAACCAGTGTTTGTGATTGGTTACAGAATCAAAACAATCGTGTGGATAGTGGACATTCATTGTGTGTATGGGGATCAGCACAAATAATAAAGTTGTGTTACATTTTGACTTTGGTGAAGGAATATTGGGCTGTATAAACCCTACATTTCTCACACAGTTTTCATGTGTGTGTTTGAACATTCTGTCAACAAGGCTGAGGGCATGTTAGCGTCAGCGCTGGCCCCTGTCAGGTAAATACCGCCAGGCTAACCGTGTCCTGTGTGGGATTTGGGCGGCTGCATTGTGGTGTTCTGCCTTCCACGTCCTGCCAGCATTAATCCTGGATTTAACAGTCGTTTACTGCAGCGGCTTGGAGCTGTGATGCAGACAGCAGGTAGCAACACGCATTAGCATCTTTTAATTAAGAGCGTGTGTGTCCCAGTGCGCTTCCACCTCCTACCTGCGCTCAGGTCTGCTCAGAAAGGTCAGGCTGTGAGCGAGAGGAAGTTATTTTCACAGGCAAAAGCAATGCCAAGTATCTCCATGGAAAGCTTGGGTGGAATGACTATATTACTTGCACTTGTCTTGAGGCTTTAAACTTTCTAGACTGGGAGCAATACCAAAGCTTTTGATTTATTTTTTTGAAATTATTTAAACTGCATTCCTTTCAAACCATAACAATACATAGTTCCCACATGACGTCACTACATACGGGGATTTGCCGACCCGGCGCCATTTGTGTTGGCATTCTGTGGGCAAAACAATAGAAAAAGAAGCTGAAACGTGTTAATGTTGTGATAAAGTTGAAAATGGTCATCTCCTGCTGGATCAATGGATGTTCAAATCGTGCCGGAGGTTCCGTTAAACTTGGATTTTACAGTATACCCATCATTAGACTTCATGAATGTGAGAAGACTAAGCTTTTGTCAGAACAACCACGGAGGTTATGGCTTGCGAAGATAAACAGGCAAGAAACTCCTTCAAAACACGCAAGAATATGCTCGGAGCACTTTGTGTCAGGTGCGTATCGTATCTTATAATGTGTTGACAGACGTAATTTACTCAGTACTAACTTGTGTATGCTGATAGCTGGTAACTTGAGAGTTTCATTATTTAGCGTTAGATTACTTTTTATGAGGAGGATCGGTGTCGCGTCCGAGGCTCTCGAGGGCAACGTAAATGTATTAAATAGATAATAATAGTTCTATGGTGGGCTAAAACAATGTTCACAAACAGCATTGCTTCTGTAAAAAGATCTGTGTCATAAAATAAACTGCTCTTTACGCCTGGAAAAATCAGTTGCCCACCATTCACCAAAACATACGGTCAAAAACGCGGAAATAAACAATAACAGCAATCCAGAGTGTCCGTGTGGCATTAGCATTAATTAAATTAATTGTTAATATAATTAAAATAATTAAATGGAGCTCCAACTGGTATTAAATCTAAAGTTTTTGAGAAATGTTTGCATTGCTTGTTAATTTTTGCTGCATAATTTGATCAAATATGTAAAACATGTCCGTAGCACGTTAAACTGTGGTGCCATTGTATTAATATACAATTATTTGCTCAAAAGTTGCCCTTTTTTTCCAATTTGCGTTTGAATATCTACATTTATTCTCATTCTTCTGTTTAATGGAATGCACAAACACAGCAGCGAGCCATCAAAGATGGCGTCTCCGAGGAGGTCATGTGACATTCATTGGTCTGTGGGAACTATGTATTGAAACTCTGTCAATTTAGTTAATTCTCTTTCATTTACATGTATGTATTTTAACCTATATGTCACATCATAACATCTGCTTTGTCAGACAGATCAGTTCAAAGAGAGGACCACTCTCACTCAGCCAATTAGCTCTCAGCCCAAAGTGTCAAATAGTGATTCAATGGGGTGTTTCTTACAAACATGCATAAGACTTGCCTGATTTGTTCAGAACACTTTGCTTTTTCTGTTGGAACAAAGACAATGTATTTATGAAATAAAAAGATAGACATTATCACAGTATGAACTCCAGGATCAAAGAGAGCACGAGAACATGGGGTGTTAAGCCCAACATAGTAAGTGTAAGTCAAAATGAGCTTGTGTGACGTGAGGGTGTAAAAAAGGGAGATTTAACAGTTCCAGCAACGCCAGGTGGTCTAGGGACCACCCAAATAATTGGTATAATAAGGCCGCACAAGTTGTGGACATAGGAGACGCGAGACTATACTTACAAAACAGTTCACAAGTTTATTTTCACAATTATAAGTTAAATACATCAAATAGGCCTTTAATGGAAAAATTGTTAAAATGTATTTCTTAAAATGGTGGCAAATCAGGACACAAGGACAAAAAGAAAACAAACTGCAAGCCATGCAAATAAAGCAAACAAAAGAAAAAGCCAAGCAAAAAGCATGCGAAGGCAAAATAAATCAACACCAAATCAAGATAAACTCACCAAACCACTCAGAATAACCTAAATAAACAAAAAGAAAGATTATTAACGAAGGTCCGGGTGCCACAGGACATGCCCTTTAAACTAGAGTACTCCAGCGCTCATGCACGCTGCAGCGGTGTGATCCGAGCCAGGAGGCCACACGTGAGCGCGCTCCAGCGTCTCCAGAGACATGCGAGACAGAGGTGGACAGAACAGCGGCTGCCTTTCAGAGTGGTAGCCCTGGTATAGACCACACGTGGAGAGAGCCTGAAGGACAGGCACAAATCTTAACATTGTAATTAATAACTAGACTGTAGTTTTTGAGCTTACCTGCCAGTGAAAGGCACGCACTCACGGCCAGTGGGAGGAGGGGGAGAGCCGGTATGGATACCAGACTTGTCCCAGCTGCAGCTCAGGGTCTGGGGCAAACAGGTTTACGCTCAGCTTTGGCTTTGAGAGCCAAGAATGAAAAGGCGGACAATGAGCGACTTACCTCGATTGTGGAGCACCCAAACTCGCGGCAAAAGCCAAAGCGCTTCTCCCACGCGCTCCAGCGGCCTCCAACCAGGTAAAGCTGACGGTCACCAAACGTGCGACCACCGCACCCAGGCCAAGACTCATGTGCGCGCGCCGAACACGCACCTGCTTTTAATGGGCTCCACAAGTCCAAGCCAATCATCTTTCAGTGCGGTGCACACCGACATGCCACACTTGGAAGAGTGAATCTTTGTTCATGAGCACTTAGCATAGTTAGAATCTACAGCATATACAGACTATAGGTTTGATGGCCAGGATATTTATCTTTGTACATAGACAATGTATGGCAAATGAAATATCATCATATTAGGGCTGTCAAACAATCAAAACGTTTAATCAAGTTAATTACGTCTTAAAAATTAATTTAACGTAATTAATAGCATTTTGAACTATCGGCAAAATGATGGGCTATTTTTTACATAAAATGGCAATAACATTATTAACATTCTGTCTTTCTGTATTTTTTCTAAGTTGTGTTGTATTAAAATATGTAATTTAATTGAAAATTTGAGCTAATTGATTCAGCTGTGTATAAAAAGTGCTGTGTAGAAACTTTGCGTGACGCTAGTTCTCCAAGGCCACGCCTCCTCAAGTGTCTGCAGCGCATGTAAACAAAAGCAGCATGGTAGGAGAAGGTGGCACACACAGCAACACAGCCCAAAAGACGCTAAAGTGAGAAGGAGAAGAGAGAACTAAAGCAAAAAAATGATCGACGAAGAACTCAAGCCCTGGTGAACATAGCTAGCTTACATGTATCCTCGCTGGAGAGACCTGCGGGTTTGAGAGACCTGGGGGAGCGGGACCACCTTGGATGCGAAACTAGCGGTAATCTTTCAGGTATTGTAATGTATATTTTGTTAGCAGTGCGTTGCTTTGGTACCATTTCATCAGTGATTGTTGTGCAGCTTATATGAAGTTGTGCTAATGCTAACTATTGCCTACCTGCTCTGTCGCCATTTCACACGCATGTGTACCATTATTATAATAGATCCATTATGTGTCCGCGGAACTTTTGGGTGTTATTATGGGATGCATATAGGCACGTTATCCGGCACATGCGTTAATTTTTTTAACGTGATTAATGATTTTTTTTAATTAATGTGCGTTAACGCAATAATATTTACATCCCTGTATTGTAGGTGTTTGAAAATGTTGATGCTTTGACACGAATCGCTAAAATAACCCAATAAACATACAAAACGTGTACCACATAGATTTGTGTGATTAATGTTCCTGTTTTCCTCCCGAACTGGCATTGCACCGCAGTAGCTTCATTTACATTTCTCAATTTGTAGCAGACAACTTAAACCTTTTTGGCACAGCTTGAAGCGGGAATTAAATGCACTTTGTGTTTTTGATGAATGGACTTCCAAACCAACAGGGGCTCTTTCTCATTTCCATTGCGTATATACTGTACAAAAACCCCTGTCGTCATTTACAAAACAGCACTGCACGTTTAGTCGTATCCATCCCACACATACAAACCTCTCTGTGTTGACTTAATCATTGGACTAATTGCTTGCATGAGTTGCTTGGTTTGCCTCTCAGTAGCAGCCTATAAAGAATTGAGGTCACATGAGGATGGAGCCTGCAGTCATGTGACCCGCTCGGATTGCATATGAATTACAACATCATGCATATTTCACACATGCCTTTAACGTGCAACGTGTGGCTTGGAAATGTATGTATTGTTTATGATACCGGCGGCTAAGTAGGGCAGCTTCGCACCAGTTCACGTGCACTTTTCAGAATATGCAGGATGCCAGATATATATAGTTAACAAAAAATTGACTTGAATGTACATACAGTATGTAAAACCACATTGTGTGCATTTTCAAACTTTGAAAACCAGTGGATAAAGGCAGCTCACTCACTTTATTCATCATCAAAACACAGTCCCTCGCTGCATGTATTTTGTTGTTTTGTTTCTGCTAAGTGAGACCTAGCAGAAATAATGACACACAAAATCATGAAAATCTATCAATGTGATTATAATATATGTAGGATTGCAATTTCATTACATTACAGTTACAAAGTTTGAGTAATAAGGGAAAGTTAGGAGATGACTTTGAAAGAGTCCTCAGGTGCGCATTTTTTTTTTCAAGAAATATAAACGATACGCCTAAACCTGTTTTAGAGATGTGTAATTACTTAAACATGAACTACAGTATATCTTTATTTCAGCTACAGTTTATTGTAAACTGGTGTAGTTGATTTAACAAGTGCTGTAGTTTCCTCTTTCCTACAGCACTCAACTTTAATTTTCCTTCTTTGGAGAAAAAAATCAGTATTTTCACTTCTGTAGTATCAAATCTAGTTTCCCAAACACCCTGAATCACATCTGCTTGGTCCGCATGGGTCCAGGTCCAACTGTCTCGTAGCTTCCCTCCTGAATGATCCGATAAAGACTGCTGAATAAGTGATGAGGCAGGTACAGCGCCCCCGGTGGCTCTCTAGAGTTAGCTTCAGATGCTGCAGTTTGAATTATTCATATTGGTCTGAGTGGGCGCTAATAACAGCGGAGGTCTAAGGTCACTCTCCAGCTCGGCTCTCATCATCAGCCCAGCCACATGTTTGCTTACTGCACTGTGCTCATTTAACCAAAGAGAAAAAGAAAATACGTCCTTCTCTCTTCTATAGTGATAATCTACTACTCGATATGATATGTTTAGCACTTGTGGAATCTCAATATTAAGCTAAAACCATGGATGTCAAACGTGTCCTCAAAGGGACGATGTGGCTGCAGGTTTTAATTCCAACCAAGCAGGAGCACACACCAGACCCCATCCAATGCCTCAAGTCTCAATACTCGACTCACTTGAAGAAATGAGTGGAGTCTGGTCTGCTCCTGCTTGAACTAAACCACACCAGCCCTTTCTGGAACCAAAGACTTGGAAGGTTCCTTTGATAAGACAAAAGTGTAAAGAAGGTAGTGCTGCTTAATTACCTGACATGTTTTGGTGGTTTCTTGTCACATATCAAAGCCTTAAACCTAAAAGAAGACATTTTATTTACTCTTACTTTCTGGAACCAGTTTGACCCCCCTGGTTAAGATTTCTTGTTTGCAAAATAGACCAGTTTATTGTCTGTGTATTATACCTGTACCACAGATTAAACAATACAATTGGCACACAAATTAACGTAAAAATTCAGCTAGCTTTGTGAAAAGGAAAATCTTGATGAATACTGTTGCAAAATATCATGAACAATGCAAACAGGGGGATTAGCATACAATAGGTTCTGTCTACTCCCTGACCACTCCACCGGGTCTGTGAGCAGAGGGGGAGCCACATTAAGTGCTGTCCAGAATGATGGATCACTGAGAGACGAGGGCTGATAAGCTCCTCCACGGCGACAACGGTCCTGTGGAGGAGCAGATTCTGGTGTTCGGTCTAAGGCAGAGTTTCCCAACCGGGGGTACGTAGGCAAGGGGAACTTGTTTGTAATATTCAAAGTAAGAGGTTAATATGGCCTACAATGACGTGTTATGCAACATTGTAAAGTCAATTCTCTAAAGAAAACAACCATGTCGTGTATTGCCTTCTAAACATTGAAACTTCTTAACTTTGTCCTGGTCCACTGCAGGACAATTTACCCCGTCCTGGGTGGTTTCTGCCAGTTCCTGTGTTCCAGTCCCTGCTCTGGCTCCTGTTCCAGCTCTGCTTTGGTCCGTGCTGCAGCCCCTACTGGGATTCCTGTCCTGATGTGTCCCAGACCCTTCACCAAGTTTGCTACAGGAGCTGAACACTCTTTCCTGTCTGTCTTTACCCTGAGGGCTACAGCAGGACACCAGGACGGGTGGTCTTTTGCATCTTCAATGCCACCCCGTTGGACATCATTCTCCGTCCAGGGCATCCCCTCGTTTCAGCTCCGATCCCAGCCTCGGTCTTAGCTCCAGCCCTCTCAGCCCCGGCTTGGTTACTTTTTGTGTTTACTCTGGATTTTGTTTTGTTTTCCTTTTTATTAAAGCTATTGTTTTTCAAATTTGTATCCAAATCGCAGACCAAGTTTGTGTACAAAGTGTCAAAAGTGATCAGAAAAATCAAATCATTCATAATTTGGTCAAAATATCTACATAATGAATGAATGCCTTTATTAGTCCCCCGGGGGGACTGATAAAGGCATAATTTAAAAAGAGATGCATTGCCACAAATAATGCAATGGAGACAGTCCTATAATCAGTTCTGGCCCTGACCAACAGTCCGCCTTAACAACAGTTGGTTCTTGTGGCTAATCTGTGCTGTTGAGGGGGTACACAGAGGTTGCGACCCATTGATCTAGGTTATAACCTTCCATGCCAACACCAGGGAGTTTGATTGAGGATGTACTGCAACTCAGCAGATCCAGGCATTTGCACTTAGTGGAGAGGAGCAGGACATATTGACTACCACTCGTTGACTTATGTAAATAGCTGGAACAGGGACTCCCTCTCATTGACCTAAATATAAAAAATACAAACAAAACACTTTCAGTTCTGCAGTTAATTAAACTTGCTGTACAAAATATGTATTTGTTCTAGAAGATGCTCATTTAAAGAATTCGGTTGGTTGTTAAAGCTGCTTTTTGGGGAAGAGGAAGAGAGAGGAGGAGGAGAGAGCAAACAACAAAATTGTTCCATTGTTTCTGTCCTGAGGCAACATTCCAATGGGAGACTTTTGAGTGGAGCCATCTGCTGAAACTCAACTATCTATTACAACTATGGTTCAAAATCCAAACTGGAGGCAATATTGCATTTGTTTGAGAGCTCAATGAAACCCAATAGGGAAGTGCTCATGGAAAAAGTTTTGCTCCAACTCGCCCTTTCCTATTATCTTACATTGAAAAGTAATCTCCCCTAGCTCAGAAACAATTTGTTTGATTGAGGAGCGAGGTAGAACCAAATAAGTTATCTTCTTCTCACTCCCTCTCAGGCAGAACTCAATAGACATGTTTAGATGCAGTATTTACCATACATTCACTTTTCTGTCTTTTTCAACTGTTATAAATGGAATGACAGAGCTAGCAGTTGTGGTCAAAGCGAGGAGTGCAGAGGAGCCAAAGGTGTGTGGAGTTTGTCAGAGGAGAGATGAGTCCAGGAGAAGGCGCTCCCTCTACACATCTGCTCAGTGAAGAGTGGAGATGACCTCAGCAGGAGTGTCTCAGGGTGAGGGTCCATCTGGAACGAGGAGGCAAGAGCCGTGACATAGGCTTCTATAGGCGTTTTCAGACCTATTTATTCATGTAAAAAAGCATACTGTGTTTGTTGGATCAATGTCAGCTTTTAACCACAAGGAAGACAGAAAAGAAAAAAAGCAAACCTCAGACTTTTAAAATAAGTTTTCAAAAAAGAGATGCCATAGGCATATTTGGTTCACCCGGTCTTTTTAATATAATATCAACACTTGCGGATCAGAGGTTTTAGAGTCATCTTTTCTATAATGACTGATATGACTCTGCTCCACATCTAAACATGCAACAAAACATTTTTGAACATGAAATCTCTCATTTAACCACTGTAAACCCTAACAAGTAAAGTTTACTTGAAAAAACCTTGGAAATAAATTGCATATTAACTTCACTTGAATTACTCGAATACATCCTTTACTTGATATTACCAAGTAACTCAAGCGATTGCAATAAATTTTAAACTTTGCTCCGACCAGGAGTCGAACTCACAATTTTGAAGTTGAGAAGTGGAGGTGCTACCCACTCAGCCACCATGCTGCCTTGACCCATTTCACACCGGTCTTATTTAAGACTCTACACGTCAAAATGTCAAAAGTGAGGCTTACTTGAACAGAGACAGTTCAATTCAAAGAAAAACCTTAGTGATATCGCCAAGCTTTAAATAAACTAACAATAAATGAGTAATATCCACTTACTGGGAAAAATCTATTTAGAATAACTTTGATATCTGAAGTACGATTGAAGTTAGGGTTTACAGTGACCAAATGGTTTTCTAAACCACTTTTAGAGTCACGATATCTACTTGAAGCTTGGAACTGAAATCGACCTCATTGGGGTATCTCTATTAGGCTGCATTCAGACCATTTTGTAGAGACCTCTGATTAAAAAACTAGCAGTTGAAAAATAAGAATCTGATTTTTAGTGTTCCTACATCTCAATAAAAACCAAAAAACAAGTGACATTGCTTTCTTCAAGGAGTATTCATTAAATGGTTGAAACATCACATTGAAGTAGTGTAGACTTATGGACATACTACCTAAGTTTAGAAATCTATCTCTGTACGTAAACCTTCTTTTGCCCCACGGCGGCGGCAGTGGTGGAGTGTTGGTTCTGGTATGGAGCTGTCAGCCGCTGTGTACTCATATTTCTAAGTGTCTGTCTCGTCACATCGCCAGTGTGTTTGTCCCACGCTGTTGCACTTATTAATGCAGTGATTTATTGGCCTGTCAGGAGCCCCTCTCATCCGTCTGAAGCACACAGGGTCAGTGCAGGTTAAGATTCGCTGCATGAGGATGGAGATGGGACATGTGAGCTGCATGTCGATGTGGGCTGCAGAATGAAGAGATGGAATCACAAGCAGCGCTGTCACAAAGTCTGTTTGTCAAGTTCACATTACCCTCAGAGCCACTTTTGGAATGTGTCATGTCACTGTTCCGGGGCTGGGAGAAACGATTACTTTGATGATCGATTCATCTATGTGTTTTTTATCATTGCATTTCTTGTGTTTGAACTGTTTGATTCTCTGATCTGTGTTGGCGAATTCAACGGTTTTGTAAAGTCTGCTGAGAGACTGCTGTTGTGATTTAGGGCTATACAAGAATAAATGCAATTTAATTGAATCCACCAACTGTTTTTTGATGCTTCGATTTCATTACTGATTAGCTGCACTCTCGTTTCTTAGCAAGAAGGTTCTCGGTTCGAAATCCTGGTCGGGCCAGGGCCATTAAAAGTCACAGCCAAACCCCAGACTGTATGATACAGGGGACACAGACTGACAGGAAAAGATTGAGTTGAGAAACAATGTTGATGTCAATTGACATCAATGGCTGTCAATGAGTTAATCTCAATGAGACTTTCCTGGTTAAATAAAAAAAATGTTCACATTTTTTTTTTTTTTTTTTTTACAGTGATTCTTTAGCGTACCCCTAGAGGGCGCCCGTGTACCCCTAGGGCTTTGAGAAACACTGGACTATACCACACTTACTCAGCCAATCAGTTCTCAGCCTATAACATCACACATTTATGGACTAATCTGCCTCTTATGGACCGATGGCTCTGTGTTTTTTGTTGTTGCATTTCCTAAGTTTGAACCGTTTGATTCTCTGATCTGTGTTGGCGAATGTAATGATCTTTTACCAATGTTTATTTGTACATGTTTTAAACATATTTAATTCTTGAAGTTTAGATTAGATTGATACAGAATCCAAGCCCAAGATTTACATTTTCTGGGTCGATTCTTGCTTTGCACACTTGTTTTCCAGGTCCAATAGATACATTGGATTTATCTCAATCTTGCATTTTTAAAATCTTAGTTAGTAATTTTTTAGTTTTCCAAGCTTGCACAAAAACGCAATGACAATATTGGAAAACATGCATGACAAACGCAAAAAAAGCTGACCCGAGCAGGATGCATTCTTACATTTAAACAGCTTTGTGCGACTTGAATGGGAGGATTGGAATGATTTGCCACAGTGAGTTCCACAGTCAGCCTGCTTCTATTGCTCAGTCCGTCAGACTGCACTAGTCCACTCATTTGTCACCTGCTCTGTTAGTGGCAGTGGCGCATTGTGGCGTATGTCCCCCCACTCCCCTCTCCGCCAAAGCAGTCCGCGCTGCTCCAGTGGCTACGTGCTCCCCATAACCACCCGGAAAGTCATCTCCAGAAATAGCCATAAGCAGGTTGAGCCGCCCGCCGGCCCAGATTACTGCGTTTTATATGGCTGCACTGTAGATCACATTAACATTATTACTTTGGGAGAGAGAGAGCAATGAGGTGGGGACAAGACAGGATGGGCGCATTGGGATTGAGGTGTATGGAGAGTAAATATGGATGCCATTTCGCATGTGTTTGGATTGAACACTAAAATAGGTTATTCCAATTTAGTTTCTTTTTGGAATTAACATATATCATTTATCACACACTAAATCACAAGTTATTACAAAGATGTTGAGATGTTTTGGTCAAATGTATATGAGATCTCTGAATGACCAATCGAAAGAACAAACGGCCAACTAATCGATTTTCAAATAATCATTCATCACAACTATACTTTAATAGAAAAACAAAATCTAGTCTGACCCTGTGCCTTAAAAGGCCAGTAAATCTGACAAAAACTACCCCTATGAAGTAGTATTTTATTATACATTTTTTATGGCTTGTATAGGTCATGTTCCAGTTGAAGTTACTCAACCTGTATGTAAAAATATGTGGTGAAACAAGTAACAATGGTAAAAAGAAAAACATGATACTGGTCTGCCTTATCCCTATACTATCACCAGAAAGAGGTGTAGAATTAGTTTTGTTATTTTTCCAAATTTGAAAAATTACCTGCTCCAACCACTACCATGCAGTTGCAGTTTGTGCCAAAAGTAGATGATTGTGGTTAAATTCTCTAAAATGCCCATTTTGCATAATGTCTTCATCATGTCAATATTTTATGAATATGCAGTGACTGTTGAGTTAGTCACAGATTTACGTTGAAAAATATCCTTCACACAGTTTCATTGTTTGTCAAAATGGTGCGTTGTATTTCAAAAG